CCAATCTTTTAGTCGCAGAAGATACATCTACTGCTGCTGCTGCTGCTGCTGCTGCTGCTCATCAGAGGTGTGATATTCGTGGCCCCACTGCCTTTGTGGGCAGTGTGTGTTCCCGTTTGAGCTAAATACCCGGATCCCTCCATCGTAACATTCCTCGCCAGCCAGTCAATGCGCCTCGAGAGAATGTCGAAGAACCCCGTTCACAAGCAATCGTACTCGTTCGGCGGCGAATCCGCCTCCTGTGACACGGCAATCAAACTCAAGTAAGAGTTGCGATGTTTGAACTTCTTTTTTCGCGTTTATTGACATTCTTTTTTTCTATTTTTTTCCTGCCTCTCCTTCAGAAGTCACTTAAATAGCCTCTTTGAGCTTATCGACAAGGAGATTGACGTGTTAATCAACGAAAATGCCAATCGTAAGTGAGCGAGCTCTGCCACTGATAGTGACACCGAGTGCCACTGAGGTGGCACTTCTCCTCATTCTCCTTCTCCTTCATCTTTTTCTCTCTTCACTGCAGTGAAAGATCGCGTGGAGACGTTGGAGGAGATACTGATCAGCTCAGGCCATGCAGGCATTCAGTCTTCGGAAGCGGCCGGTGGCAGCAGTGGTGGCGGCGGCAAGAGTCACAGCGCCAGTGGCATCTCCAACCTCCAGCAGCACCAGAATAAGTTCTCCGTGGTCAGCTCGGTGAAGCGCGACTCGATGGTAGCAGGTCAGAGGGAGAAAAAGGTCGAGCTTTACTTGATCTTCTAATCTGCTTTTCTTTTTCTCCCCCTATGACTAGCCTCGCAAGCGCTCTCGCAGAAGATCAAGTCCACCTACAAGCTGAAGACCAGCAGCAAGATCTTCAAGGGGCAGAGCAACTCGAGCAGCCACCTGGTGGGCAGCTACGAGTGGCACAAGGACGGCATCTGGTACATTACCTCTAGTCAGAAGAATGGTCGCAGCTACATTGCCACCGCCTCCGCAGGTACACAGGCAGCACTGCCCTTTTTTCTCTTTCTTTGCATTTCGACCGCTTTTTACTTATCGACATTGTTTTGTTTTCCTGCTCTGCAGACGGCACTGCCCACATTTGTGATGTCAGCAAGCTGGACTTTAACGCCAACCTCAGTCCGATGCTCACCTACACTGGTCACCAGTCATCGGTGAACTGCGTCAAGTTTCACCACAACAATGACCTGATGTTGACTGCCTCGGGCGACGGTACGGCGCAGATTTGGCGCTTCAATCCTGAACAGGTAAAAACTGCAAAAACTGGCTTGTTTATTAGTGTAAACTTATACGTTTTGTCCCCTGCAGCGCGACTTTGACACCTTTGGCGGCGACCAGGGCGGGCCGGACGAGGTGGGCGTGGTAGTGCAGAAGAGCCCCCTCCT